TTAATGTCAGCATATGTTTAACAACAAATAATTTTTCAAATTCCCTACAGTCCGGACTCCTCCTTATAGTTCAGGAATATGGCCTCATGACACTGTTCCCCTCATGACACTGTTCCCCTCATGACACTGTTCCCCTCATGACACTGTTCCCCTCATGATACTGTTCCCCTCATGACACTGTTCCCCTCATGACACTGTTCCCCTCATGACACTGTTCCCCTCATGACACTGTTCCCCTCATGACACTGTTCTTCTCATGACACTGTTCCCCTCATGACACTGTTCCCCTCATGACACTGCTCCCCTCATGATACTGTTTCCCTCATGACACTGCTCCCCTCATGACACTGCTCCCCTCATGATACTGTTCCCCTCATGACACTGTTCCCCTCATGACACTGTTCCCCTCATGACACTGTTCCCCTCATGACACTGTTCCCCTCATGACACTGTTCCCCTCATGATACTGTTCCCCTCATGACACTGTTCCCCTCATGACACTTTTCCCCTCATGACACTGTTCCCCTCATGACACTGCTCCCCTCATGACACTGTTCCCCTCATGATACTGTTCCCCTCATGATACTGTTCCCCTCAATCCTCATGATACTGTTCCCCTCATGACACTGTTCCCCTCATGACACTGTTCCCCTCATGACACTGTTCCCCTCATGACACTGTTCCCCTCATGATACTGTTACCCTCATGACACTGTTCCCCTCATGACACTTTTCCCCTCATGACACTGTTCCCCTCATGACACTGCTCCCCTCATGACACTGTTCCCCTCATGATACTGTTCCCCTCATGATACTGTTCCCCTCAATCCTCATGATACTGTTCCCCTCATGACACTGTTCCCCTCATGACACTGTTCCCCTCATGACACTGTTCCCCTCATGACACTGTTCCCCGAAAGATAACGATACAGTCAGTTGTGCACACAAGGTGATCGTTAGCTGCAAATCGTGAGAAACCTCACTGAACCAGCATTTGTGGACATATGTTGTGTCATACTCATAACTCATAAGCTGTATATTAATGATGGACATTGCGAAAAATGTACACCTATGTATTTGAAAGTCTCTGTGCGCTTTATAGCCCAATATATCACCCACCTGTATTTTCGCTATATTATCGCGGAGCCAAAAATCAGTTTTCCGCCAATAATTTAAAAAGTAAATGTTTTCACTTTCAGGGTTCATTCACCAGCTTAGGGGTCATCCACCAGTACGTCGACCACAGTACAAACCCTTGTAAGCTCAAGTATGATAGTGCGTAATGCGTATGCATACCCAAGTGTGTGATTGTTGAATTAACTACAATGTTACCAATAAATAACTGCTATAATATTATATTTAATTAATTACAATTAATTAATATTAATTATAATTATCCTTGTCATATTATGGGTTCCATGAATTTCAAGCACAATGTCAACAGCACATGTTGAATTTCATCTCCCATTCATGTGGTAGCATTGGAAGACACACTGGTATGGAGTGATAAGGGCCCGAAAGTTCTAGGTTTTGGATTTTGTTTCAGATTTGTCTCTAGTACTGAACATAAAGCCCCTGTAATTCTAGTGTATTTTATGTGTTAGTTATACTAGATATGTCCTGAGATAACACGGCTTTATATTCATTAATCTCCTGCTTGGAGTGGTTGGAGGTGTCATGTCTCGCGTGATACAGGATGAAACTTGAGACGACGTAAATTTAATGACTTATGAGCTTATTGAGCCCGCACGTTGTTGAAATTTAGAGTTTTCAGTTTGTCTTGAATTTGAAAGAAGGGGAGATTTCTCTCTAGTTTACGGCAAAATGAATATTTTAAAGATAAAGTTTGTCAGTTTACTCTTCCTTTACATATACAGGGTGAGTTGAAAATAGTGTGTGGAATGTAAAGATCGATACAATTTTTTATGAAGGAGCAAATTTTGAAAGGTGTATTGCTATCAGTTCATAAACGTTACACATTTCATTGTTGCATCTCATTTGATTCTAACTCATAATATGGATTCCACACACTATTTTCAACTCACCCTGTAAGTCCAATTAAAATTCGGTATATATTATTATGATCATAGTGCAGTTTACATAGTTAGTAACATCGTGTTCTCCAAAACATTGACTGATTGGACCTCGTTTTGGTAGCTTGTAACCTCTAATATCTGTTGGTTACAGCTGTTTTTACAACTTTGGGACTTTTAACCATTCTGCTAGAGATATACTGATGGGAGACAAGGTGCTACTTCTAGAAGATGGTATTCCAAGGAACAACGAATGGAGTCATGGTCTGTTTGGAGGCTCTGACGATTGTGGAGAAATGTCGCTAGTTTGGTTTTGTCCTTGTGTAACATTTGGTTTAAACGCGCGGGACTCTTGCTACCCTGGTTATTGGTGCGACGGGTGTTGTGGTGCTTTTTGTGGCTGCTTGGGCTTTATTTTCTGTTTTCCAGTCGCAATGTGTGCGTGGGGTTGTTCTCTTAGACCCAAAATCAGAAGAGACTATGGGATCCAAGGTGACCGTTATTTAGACTGGTTGGCGGTTGTATTTTGTTTTCGCTGTGCTCTACTTCAGGAACGACAGCAGTTGAAAGAAAGTCTGCCTTCTACAACTCAAGTTGTTGTAGTGCAGCAACAGCAGAACCGGATAACTGCAGTTCCACAGTCCTATGCTCCCCCTCAACAGTACGCTCCTCAACAGTATGCTCCTGGAGTCCCTCATCAGTATTAGTGCACCCTTATCTCGGGTGTCCAGCAGGGACAAAAGGAAATCGCGGCATGTACGGAATCGCGATTTTTCCCATTATTTGCGACAAATTTTATGTATAGTTTAATGTATAGTATGTTAAAATTCGCGGTATCGCGATTTTTGGCCAAAATAATCGCGAAATCCTTTTGTCCCTGGTGTCCAGCGAGCGAACTCATCCTCCCATCTTTAAATTCATAACAAGAATTTCGCCGCGGTAACACCACGCACGATTAAATTTCCCTACTGCCTACAATGTAATTGTTCTACTTGTATCCCAGAGTGGTGTTTGGCGCACGTGATAATCGTTTTCATTATATTAGGCGTGCAGAACTTGAAAATTCTGCGCGCATCTTAGGTGTCGCCGTCGATCTATATTCTATATGTGGTTTGGTTGTAGATCATTTCATATGTTGCGCGGTTTTGTTTCGTGTTACTGTTAACGATGCGTATGATCATGTCACGTCATATTTATACTGCATCGTATGCCAACTTTATTGACTGTAATAAAATATTCTGTCTAATCTTAGTTATTATTTGTATCTAACATAAACTAATACATTTTGATGCTTACTCGACACATCTACAGCACCATCGACTATATAGGATTCTTTAAAAGCATACTATACCGCAATCTTGATCTTAGTTGCTTCTTGAATGTAAATGTAAAGTAACATCTGTTCTTAAATATGTAATCGCTTTTTACCATTCAGTTTCGATAAACTGTAAAATATTCGGCCACGAGTTTATCAGTTGATATAATAATTTAATTTGTTTCGACTTGCTGAATTTTATCACTCGGTAATTTATTAAGCTTGTTTCAACAAAATAACTAAACACTTGTATTGATGATTGATCCGCTCAGATGACTAATATGCTATATTAATGAATTAGAGTAAATTGCAACCCGATGGAAACCTGTGTAACAGTCGTCAAGCACCTAAAACTGGTTGCTATGCCTGTAATTAATTAACACATAGCTGGCGTCGCGCGCGCAAAATTGCCTCCTTTTATACACATAATTATAGGGGAGTGGTCTATATTGCGAAGGAGCAGACTTTTGTCATCACCGTAGGACCGTCGGGCCACCTCATATATCCAAACCCGATTACTTATTCCCTACGATCTTTTTGCCTTCGGCAAGAGCAGGGAAAAAAATTATCGTTAAACAATGAAATAGTTTCAAAAATGTATAGTATTTTTCATCTTTAGTCAACATTTTGATTTTGGAGATAAAAAACCCTAAAAATATCTCCTGAATCTTTCTTTTTCAATATTTGAAAATTCTTTGAAATTTCTCAACATTTATGGCGATTTGCTTATTTTCAATTTATCATAAAAGTAGTTGTAGACTGATGACTTAATGACGATGTTGATTTTTGTAATTAATTTTGTGAATCTGTAGTATCCTTTGTCCTAATCAGTTCGATCTGTCTTCACGATTTTTCAGCGCAATCATAATTTGCGTAAATTAAATGTTATACTACATTTTCTTGCTAAAAGTTGCAATCCACTACCCCATTACAATAAGATACACGTACAATCGTCCAACATTTTATTTTTGTACTAAATTTTGTACTAAATTGTTATCTCGGGAGTCGGGGGTATTTCCCAGTAAAACATTTCAACCAAAAAGTCGCCTAAATCGGATATTTTATTTATGAATTCCTATTTCAAAAAGTAATTTCTTATTTATTTAGTACAGTTAGCCGATTTAACGGCCAGGTAGCGCAGTTGGTTAGCCAGCTTTGCAATCGTGAGGTTGCGGGTTCAAATCCCACTGCCTGCCTGGTCGTGGGGTGAGTGTCGTTGACATTCAGCTAAGGATCGTGAGTGGTCTATGCAGCCCCCCGGTCTACTCAGCCGAATACTCGAGAAATCGGGTGTGAGGGTTAAATGAGGAGCTGCACATTGCAGCAAAGTCTCGGGCGAAGAAAGTATGGTACACACAGCACACTACCTTAACGTCACTGGCTAAAAACAAATCCTTCGGCTTCCTGTTATTGGCTGGTTGCACTTGTGTAACAATATGGCTGTTGGAATACTCCGAAGTAAAATAAGTGTCTAGATAAAAAAATAAAAAAAAGTATCAGGCAGACGATTGTCGATCTTTGGAGCCACCACAGAGAAACTACGCTTACCAAACTTAGAGTTAGTATAGTTACCTCCACAAGTTGTCAGTTTAATCTTTCTTCACAATTTTGCAGCCCAAACATATGCACCTAAAGCTTTAAAGGTATACTAAATTATTCTTGCTAAAAGTTTCGAATCAAATTATTAATTATTTTAATTATTAATGAATCAAGAGGCAAAATGATAAATTATAGCATAATATGTTTAACAAAAAAATGTTTCCACATTTCCTACTATTCAGACTCCTCATCTGCATCTTGGCTCACGAATATGGCCTCGTGACGCTGGTCCCCGAACCCAGGACGGGTGAATGTAGCGGTAACGGCCATGTACGGATAAAAGTTCTCCCCAGCATCACTGAGAGCTTTACCCAGATCTTTGAACTCCTTCTTCCAGATAGCCATCACATCTGCGTCAGCACCGTAGTCACCGATTGCTCTGTAGTAGGTCTTCGTGTCAATCCACTCCTCAATCTCCACAAGTTCGTTAGTTGGAGTTGGGGGGTTGTCTTGGTACTCCGAAGGAAGGTAGAAGTGCATGCTGGAGTAAGTGTTCTCGAAGTCTCTGTTCATGTAAGTCTTCGTTAATACTGGTATCGTCATCGGGATCTCAGCCTCTTCATCGTTTTCTCCATAAATATAGGCGAAGAGACGGATGAATGCGTTCACCCATTTCTGCTCCCCGTCTTCCTCCACCATTTCAGTGCTCACCCAATTGCCTGCCTTAATGTTTCGGACCCCGAACCCGCAATTCTCATTCTCAACTTCCTCAACATCTGGACATTCTGCATCTGAGCCGCAGATACCCTCCGTAGCCTTGGGTTTCGCAGTTTCGGGGAACCCTTCGCACTCTTCATAGCCTTGGGCCTCCGCCAAACTGAAATCGTCGCCGTTGTAGTCGTAGTAGTCGTGTCTCCTGGCAATATACATGACTTCGTGGCGCTGCTCTGCTTCACTTTGGTGGCTGTAGCTGCCAGTAATCACTTTCCACCAGTAGTATTCCAGACCAGAGTCAGTGAGGGACTCTCCCAGGTTTATGAACTCCCTATCCCAGATCTCTTCCGGCACCTCTTTTCCCTTTGAGTATCCGAATGCTCTATAGTACACTACAATATCATCCCACTCCTCGATTTCGACATCCTCCCCAGTTGGGGCAGGATGGGTTTTCTGATATTCCGCAGGCAGGTACAATGCCATTGAAGATCCTACTGGTTCAAAGTTCTCATCTAAACCAGTCTGAACTATCAAAGGAACGGTCAGACCCATATCGGTTCCGTCCTCGTTACCACCAGTCAGGTAGAAGACAAGTCGCTTATACGCCTCCTCGTATTTACTGTCCCCTTCACTGTCCAATACCAGAGTAGAGATCCAGTTTCCGGCACCAATCTCTCTTACTCCAAACCCGCAGCCAGTACTTGGTAGTACCTCGTGAGCAGGGCACCCATGTTCTCCTGGACATATATCAGACAGAGCTTTAGGCTTCATCCACTTCATCTTCTTGTTCTTCTTCGCCACATTCTTGTAGTTCTCTTTGTGCTCAGGGCACTCTTTGTAGCCCAGAGCAGCCCGGGACTCACTCTTCTTTTTGCCTGCTGTGACCAGCACAATCGCAGCCAGCAGCAATATTAAACACAGTTTCATCTCTCTAGGGGATCTGTTTTAGTGGAAATCGGCGTTAAAATAATTGTATACATATTCACTATGCAGGCTTGCAAGTTTGTCGTGTAACTGTTTAATAAACTTCATCGCATCAAAAATTAAAAATGTGAGCAAAATAATGCCGTTCGAAATAAGCATTTGGCTAGTCATTTATCGAAGGAAAAAACTTTTGAGAAGTTTTCTGTTTTCGTGTAGTAAGCTAGTTAATAAATCACATTCAAAATGCGACGTGTAGAAACGAAGTGTTACTCCCTCCTAGAAAACGAGCGCTAGAGAGATCGACTTAAATTGCCAACAGTTAACATTTTCGATAGATTACTTTAAATTCTAAAATCATCCTCTTAAATATATGCGGTGGCAAAGGAACAAAATTAGGAAAGAACTCAACAAGATTGATGCCGCAAATTTGAACTGCAAAATAACATGACCAGAGATTTTATAATTAAGATAACATTTTATCTGCTCGTACTTGGTTAGGTTCCACGGCGTGTATGGGTCTGAGCTAATGAATCCGTCGCATATTCTCCCTGCCCGTTTAATTACCTTTAAATTGAATTAGATTTATCAGCAAATTCAGGCCATATTATCAAATAAGTTTGTCTCGTCAAACACAGAAATCAGCATCAAGTGATATTATTATAGAACATGAACAATTATTCCCGTGCAGAATCGTACACCATTTCTTCAGTTGGACATTTTGAACAGCATGGACTGCAGCCAGGTTGCATGGACTGCAGCCAGGTTGCATGGACTGCAGACAGGTTGCAACGAATTAATGTAATTTAGGACTGAGGACTGAGGGGCCGGGTCGACACGTGCAGCGGGGAAATTATCTTCCAGACTTCCTTCCAACTTCTGGTTAAACTGGTGAGTCTGAATTTGCAGATGTTTAAGTGGGCCTTTTTGCTGTGACTTACGAAGAAGCATATGCCTTAAAATGGTTAACTTTTGAGAAATTGGCAGAAAACTGATTTTCGGTAATGCCTAAAACATCCAATCATAGGGTATCTGGTAAGTTATAGGCTATGAAGATATTCAAATGTGATAAATCATAACAAAATATGTAATCGATGATATATTAATTTTAATACAGTAGGTAGTAGTTGTACGGCAAATTACAAAAAAATAAAATAAAATAATCAAGGAAAGTTTGTTTACACATCACACTTACAAATACAATGACTTTAATTACAGTATTATAATTCAGTAGTGTTGTAATCACGAATATGATATTGTTAACCCTATATCTTTTAACCAGCAAACATTTAAATTTCAATAAAAATTTGTTAATCGACCCTCCTCTCCTTCAACTTCAATCCCAAATTCGTCCATGGCGATAGTCTTTACCCATTCCATGATTTCTACGGAGATTGTCACATTTTTAACCTCTGCCAAAGATTTTTGACTGAGAAAATCGACATTAGCTTGAGAATCTCTCTCCAGAGCAGAAAGAGCATCTCGAAAATATTCCTTGCCGATACCAACTTCCCTCAGAAAACTCCGGGTAAATTCCTCCTTGTTCTCCAAGAGAGACTCGTAGCTGTACGCCTTGATATCGTTCCGGTCACTTGTCTCCAGCATGTAGGCATGAATCTGACAGAGCACGATAAAGAGAAAGGCCTCCTTGCCAGCTCCACATTTAATTTTGTTCCAGATGTTACGATAGTTGACAGGAAGCATGGAAACTGCCGTATTTCCGGTTATGATGAGATTGCCCTTAAAGATTTTAGCGAAGGACAGTACAGTTGGTCGAAGAGATCTATACATGAAGAGTTCGGTGATCCCTGGCAAAGCTTGATGTATCAGAGGAAGAAGAGAAAGCGTCTGAATACCCCAAGGTTTGATGAAATACAGTTTCTCAGGATCCGGACAGATGAGAAGAAATACTGCTCTGACCAAGTCCAAGTACTCAACTGATTTACGACTTGGGGGATATTCCTTCGCGTTCAGTATCCACGCCAGATTAATGATAGAAGACGGTTCAGACTGAACAATACATTGATTTGTTTTAAACATCATAGCCGCGACTCAAGTGGAACCGCATCGCCCGGAATTATGGAGATAAGAAATATTCCTACCATCCCTCGCGGGCTTGCTCCTCAAATACTGGAAGATTGTTTCATGAGAAACAGTAAGAGGTTCAACTGCTGAGTCGTGCTGTATGTCGTAAAGGAAAGGATGTTCTTCTATGTTGAAGATGTTAATTCCGGGTTTTGCTCTCACAAATATAAACTCCTTTTCAGATACAGAGTAAAGGGAAACATCCTCGCGTTCGATGTAAGTTACATCTTTGGAGTTAAGGAACGTTAAGAGAAATGAACGCTTTTCATGTTTAAATGCGTAGAAAGGTTTAATGTCTGCCAGAATGTCATAACTTTGAATAGAATTAGAAGAATCACAGCAGCGAGGTCCAAAGAGCACGAAAAGTATCGGTTGTAAAACTTTCGATAGCAAGAAGAAGCGAAGAGCTGCAAAGAGAAAGCGTATTGTCTCCAACCAAATCATATTCTAAAGAGGGGTGAAATAGAATTAATCACACGTAAATGTTTTATGTTATTACATAAGCTGTAACAGCAAAATTAACGGGTTTTTATTTCAAAAACAAAGTCAGCCAGAGTAGTCAATAGAACTTCATGCGATGCAACGACACAGCTTTGAATGAATAAACACTAGCGAAATTACACAAAATGCAGAAAGCGTATCATGCGCTTCATGGCAGATCTCGAGTTACCAATTTAATTATTGACGTTGAAACTGGTAAATTACAAAGAAGGTACAACAATTTTGGGAATTTTATCAACTGAAGTGGTGCATTATAGGGTATATATGTTATACTGTTGAGACTGATTTTGCAGATATTGGGCTTTTTTGCTGGACCATATTTACAAACACGTGTCACGTGAACGGTACCTTTGAGAACATCGTGCACCGAAAGTGCGTTTCAGCCTTCCCCAATTTATCAGTCGCCCAATAGGACCACGCCCAATGTTTGCCCTCAGGTGCAAGAGTATCTTAGCTTATGAAAGCAAATCTACATATTTATATACAAGTTGTTGTTAACAATTTTTTTCCTGAAACCTTCAATTTTCGAGAAAATCGCCTAAAACCCTTTTGTGTGTGGCGTCGTGCTTAATTTTGCTAACTTTGGCTACGAATATTTTTTTATTGAAATCTTTCAAATCAATCAATTACATACAAATTTACACAATGAATGAACAACATTAAATCTTCTCAAAAGTAGACTAAAATCAGATTTTTTAGGACAAAATGTATGTAATCAAAGGACCTGAGGGCTGAGGGTCACCAAAATACAGATGTTGAGAGCAAAATGCACCTCCTGCACAAGTATGGGCCCACAAATATGGTGAGTCTGACATATTTATATAGGACTTACGAAGAAATATATGCCTTAAAAAGCTTACCCTTTGACGATTTAGGTTGACAATGAACGCAATTAATAATATATACATAATATATATGTATATATATTAATAATAATAAATTGAAGTTTAATAACACCACTTCAAAGATTAAACTTATACTCAGCAGTGTTTAATCTAAACATCCCAGAAAAGTACTTGAATAAGATAAGGACTGGTAACGTATGCTTGAAAAATATCGCTAGTCTAATGACAGAAAATGATACTTGTATGTAAAAATCGAACACCAATATTGACCAAAATAAATTATCGATATAAAGTTTCATTAAGGGGCAGTTAAAACAGAAAATCTTTAGAAGAGCTTTAAATGATTCCAGTGATTGAGCCGATAAAATGGTATCAGGCAGACGATTGTAGTCTGTAGATCTTTGAGATTGTAGATCTTTGAGATTGTAGATCACAGAGAAGCTACGCTCACCAAACTTAGATTTGAAAGATGGTACAATTAGTTTCAATGTGTGACCATGGTGTGAGTACCTAAACATGTCCTGAACAATCCTAGCAATGCCCTGTGAGACAGCAGTAAAATTTTGAAAACAATTATTTTCTTTAAATCAAACCAGTGAAGATTTAACAAGTCGTCATCAAGACGGTCATGTTTATATTTACCACGAACAGCTTTTGCAGCAGCATTTTGTAGTAACTGGAGTTGATGCAGAAGCTTCTCGCCAATACCAAAGTATAGACCGTTACAGTAATCTAGACAAGCTACAACTAGACTGTTAACGATGACTTTTATCTGTTGGGGATTCAGCAGGAATCGGATTTTTGATATTACATTTGCGTAAAGTATGGAAATATTTCTTCTTGATGAAAGCAAGCTTCTAAATTCGGGATAGCCTGTGGCAGGCAACGCCCGATTCTAATGCTTCTACAGACCTACACAAGTGTAAGTAAGTAGGTAAATATTTCATGCTAGGCATGTGGCACCCATTACGGTAACCATCCATTGAGTTTTTGCTTCTTGAATAAACTATATAATATGATGTTTATTTGGAGAAATCCAGTTTCAAGAGTGCTCTACCCGGGAGGGGAACGTTTTACAAATGAAACTTTAAGTTTGTAGAATCGCCGTTTTGTTTAAACTATATAATACATATATAAAGTCTTTATGCTTGATATCTCGGTCATCTGAGTAGCTAGAGCTCCACCTTTTTTTCCCTTCAGGAAAGATGTATTTTATAAGGCCAAGTACAATACATTATAATTTGACTTGATCAAATGATCATTAAAAATATCTAAAAACCGCGACAACGAACATTCAATCGAAAAAAACATCGTTTTCATTTGATATATTCCTCGGATGAGTGATAATAGCAGTAGCAAGTCATACCAGAAATATTTCAATCAGGTACTTAAGTGACTGAAAAATAAGCCCCAACGTATGTGCCAGTGTACTCACCCCCCCCCCCCCCCCCCACCCCCCACCCTGCATAGTGTCCAAATAAAAGTGTGTTTATATTTTTAAAATGCACAATATGGCAAAATTATGAGCAAAAATATCGAATAATTAATTCATTAAAATAGTAATTAAACAGCTAAAGATAATGA